TTATGGTTAAAAATATAATTTCTAACTTTGTTTTATAATAATACAAGTTAATCTTAAAGTTACTCATTAAATTTTAATTATTTTATTTTTATTTAATTATAATGTAAAAATATATTCGAGTTTTTTATCGGGTTTGGGTAGTTAACGGGTAGTTGATATTTTATACGGGTAGTTATTTTGGAAAATAATTGGGTAGTTATAGGGTTCGGGTACCCTAGAAAATAATAGGGTTAAGGTACGGGTACCTCAAAATTCGTGGGTACCCTACTCGTTGACATCCCTAAATAAACTCCCTCGTTCACACGTGACAGCTCTCCCCGTGCGGTTAACCCGATATTTTTCATTGTAGGAGCAAAAACTTTTAAATTGATTGAGAGGAGAAAAATAAACAAAAACACCAAACGAAACTTTATTAATTGAGAAAAGTAACCTAACAAGAACAAGAACAATTTTAATGGAGGCTCCAACACACAAACACAATTTTCTTGAGTAACCCTAATTGGGTTTCACCAGAGGCATCCTTTGGACAAATTCCCAAGCCTCACACACAATCTACTCAATATATAGCTTTTGAACCTCACCTAAACTTGAAGCTTCTTTAAGCCTCACCTAAAACCCTAAGGATAACATCCTATTTATTCTAGAAAATACTAAAACCCTAATGGACCCACTAAATAAAATAACTCTTAATTAAAATATTAAACCCAACTAAATAACAAAATACCCAAAATATTATTGGACTTGGTTTAACTCCAATATAGCTATCCTTAAACCAAGCTTTTCATGATCCATGAACCAATGCCATCAATCGCCTGAATCTTCAATGCAATTGTTGTTGCTGTAGTCAAAGCATGCAACATCTTCTTCTTGCAGTCAAATTGGATCTTCATCTTCACATGAGGAACTGTTTCATCTTCAAATTTGCCAAAGTGTTTCTTAGCCTCAAAGAATTGATATTCCATGCTCATCCATTCATCATGAAAGAAATCAGTACCAAATTCTTTCATGTTAGTCCCTTTACCAAAAAATTTCATACCACCATATTCAGACTTGAAAGTTTTCTCAATCCCCAAAAAATCAACAATTTCTGTTTCAATATGATCCAAACATAAAGTTTCAGCCAATTCATCAGCAAATAAAATTTCTTCTTGACTATCAACCACGATAACTTCAAAAACTGCTTTTGCAAACACACCTCAAGATCAGTTTTTGACAATCGAAAAATTTCAGCAGAAAGTTTCGTATCCAAATCAGAATCCCACAAACCTTCAAAGTCAATTTTTGACAATTTCAAGACTTCAGCAGAAAACTTTGCATCAAAACTAGAATCCCACAAACCAAGATCTTCAACCTCCATTTTTAAAAATCGAGAGATTTCTTCATCAAATACCTTTTCCTTCCCATCCACAAATTTTTCGTCCATATCACTAGTTTGATCAGAACATGTTTGAATCAAAATATCTCAGGCCTTTTTTGACGATTTCGCATTATAAATCTCATAAAAAACTAACAATCCAACACTCACATTTATTCAAATAAAGGTAAGAGCCAAACGATCTTTATAAAGAAAACTTACCAATTCTTCTTTTTGCGCATCTGTCTAAGAATCCATATCAGCTGGTATAACAAATCCCTTCTCAACAACATCCCAACAATCTATCGCTTTCAGATAATTCTGCATCAAAGCAGCCCATTCGCGAAACGAATTTTTCCTATCAAAGTTGATGGAGATTCCCTACACAGACTGCATCTATAATTTTTTTTATTCTCCTCCCAAAACAAAACACCTCAGCACCCAGGACGTAACATTGGCTCTTGATCGGACCAAAATTATGCATCTTTTTATGGTCATTTTCCTATGCTTTTTTGGGTATTTTATGCTTGATTATGCCTTATATTTGGTATATTTGTGTTTATAGGTGTTAAAGTGAAAAAAAGTGCAAAATCACCAATTTTGTACCTTTTTGGAGCCTTTTTGGATGATTATTTACACAAATATTTTCCAAGGACATTTTGGATGAAGAATGGAGCCAATATGATCGTGATGAAGAGCTTGAAGAGTTAATTTTATCATCATAAGATTGATTTTCAAGAGTTTGAAGCAAATGAGCAAAGTTGAATTTCAAGGCAAGAAGATATGTGAAGAGGTGTCATAGCACTGGAGTACATGGGGCGTGAGGCAAACCACATGGGGTGCCAAGCATGCCACATGGACGCCCAACGCTAGTCGACATGCCACCAGCAACCACATGGGAGCAGGCGACCTGGGGCCTGAGAGCAATGCCCTAGGTGCACAAGCCATTGACATGGGCGCCCAGGGGGAGTCGGGCCAGCCATGCGCGCGCCAAGCATGCCATCATGCATGTCTACACCTTGAAGCCTCTTCACTTGTTTCCAGATTTGGCGACCTTTCTGTATTTTGGCCATAACTTTTGATCCAGAGCTCCGTTTGAGGCAAATGAGTAGCCGTTGGAAAGCTAACTTCAAGATCTACAACTTTTGTGTTTTGGTCGAAACCCAGTTTGAACTTTTTCATGGACGAAAATGCCCCTGAAGTCAGCGGACAGAAACTGTCTTGGGCCTGTTTTGCGGGATTAATCCAATTGAGCCCAAATTCTTATTTGGACTAGCTTGAAGACTTGGAGAGCAGCCCAGCACGTCCTTAGGGTTTGTTTAGCTCTAAATTAACCCTAAGCCACCCTCTATAAATACCCTCTTAAGTGTAAAACCCTAAGACACATAGAAACTATCTTTTCTCAACCCTAACTCTAGGTTTTGCGATTTTGGAGAGGAGGCAGCCGTCGGCCTCTAGCATTGTAATTCTCTCATGGATTGCTTGTAGCTAAATCTTTTATACTTCTTTTCCTTAGGTACTTTTGATCAATGAATCTATGGTGAGACTTTTGTTCTTAATAATTTGAGTTTTTTCCGTTTGAATATGTTTCTTATCTCTATACTTCATCTTATGTATTCATACTTTGATTGATTTGGTGTACAACATATCTTGAGATTTATGAATGCTATAGTTAGATTCAAGTAGCTTGAGTCAAGCTAAAGTTGGTCCAAGTAACAATTGTAATTCTAGGAGTCCTAGGTTCAATGGGATATCAAATCTTGTTGAAATCTTTAGGCTGAGATGGAAATTGACGTAGGCAAGTTTGGTATTGATTTATCATGCATGTGGATTAATAAAATCTAATGCTTGTTATAGGAAGGGCTGAAACCTAGACTATAACATTAGAGGTTAATTGTCAGCAAGATGCGGGTTAATCTTCTTAGCATGTTGGAATTAGCATCACGTTTGTTCCTATACCAATTATTCAAATGGAGTTCTTTAAGATATTAAGAGGATTACTTTGTTTCAATGAAAGTTGATGTCTACGTCTTAGACTATATACCGATTTGGGGTAATTTATGATTCCTAATTGATTGCAATCTAAGCCAAATTTATGTTTAGTGTCTATGATCCATGATTCACTTGATCAAAGTAGTTGCCTAAAGGAGAAGAAGTATGCTTTTTACTCATTGTTTTTCTTAAATTCTCTTTTAGATCTTTAGTTTAGATTTCTTTTAATTGTTTTCTAGTTTAATTAATCTATTTTGAAAAATCCAAAAATATCTTTTCTAGGTTAGAATTTCTTTTGTAAGATTTAACTTTGATTCGTACCTTCCCTGTGGAATCGACCCCTACTTGCCCTAGCTATTTGTTATTGGTTTGTGGGGAATTATCTTTTGATTTGATCAACGACCCGTCAGCTCTTGATACCAATTGTAGGAGCAAAAACTTTTAAATTTGATTGAGAGGAGAAAAATATCAAACACACAACTAACTTTTATTAATTGGAAAACTCAACTCACAGGAACAAGAACAATTTTAATGTAGGCTCCAACACACAAACACAATTTTCTTGACTAACCCTAACTGGGTTTCACCAGAGGCATCCTTTGGGCAAATTCCCAAGCCTCACACACAACTACTCAACATATAGCTTTTGAACCTCACCTAAACTTGGAGCTTCTTTGAGTCTCTCCTAAAACCCTATGATAACATCCTATTTATACTAGAAAATACTAAACTCTAATGGACCCACTAAATAAAATAACTCTTAATTAAAATATTAAACCCAACTAAATAACAAAATACCCAAAATATTATTGGACTTGGTTTAACTCCAACAAAAAATGCATATAAAATGGCACACAAAAATGGTGGCCAATCGAGATGCATAAGTACTATCAGCTACTAAAAATAGATGTATTATTGTTTGTAGGAAATGAGAGACAAAAGCTAGATAGTTGTTCAATGATAGGCTTGGCCACCAATATGTTGGCTGCTTCGGTAAAATGATAACCATCCCAATTAAGATACGAAGAAGGGTCAGCGCAACAAGTTCTCACCGGCGGATCGCCACAACGCACGTCTTCGTTGTAATTGTAAGGACCTCCTCCTCCACAACATGCAATTAGACTTTCTTTAAACCCTACAAATCATAATGATAATGAATCATACAACAAAGCCAAGCCAAATCTTAATGCCATATATTTAAATATGGCTAGATAACATTTTGCCCTGAACTTTGCAAATTTAGGCCAGATTGCCCCCTGAACTTTGAATTGTGCCACTTTGCCCCCTGAATTTGTAAAATCAGACCAATTTATCCCTGACTTGATGGTTGACGTTAAGTCCCATAAATTTTGCTGACGTTACAAACTTTTAATGACGTGGCATTTCCACGTCAGCTCTCATTTGTGACCCACTCTAACATTTAGGGTCATGTGGGGCCCATATGAGCGCTGACGTGGAAGTGACACGTCAGCATAAGTTTGCCACGTCAGTAAATTTTATAGGACTTAATGGAATCCGTGAAGTGAATGGGGGATTTACCTAAATTTGCAAAGTTTAGGGGGCAAAGGGGCTATTTAGCCATTTAAATACATATGAAAGTTGTAACTCTCACTGAATTTTTTTTATAGACGACTAAACCCAATCTTCAATAGTCATGAGAGAGAGTGACAAGAGGAGAAAAGGTGGATGGTGGGGTTTCAATCCGTCCGGGTATCAGGAGAAGGAATCTTTTCGATGGAGACTGAGTTTGCACTTAGTTTTTGTTGGCAATATCAGCGAGGGTATTACAAGGAAGGATCTATGGGACAAGTTCAATGATTTTGGTATAGTAGTGGATGTTTTTATGCCTCCGAGAAGGAAAGGTGGGTCGAGAAGTTTTGCGTTCATCAGATATAGATTTCAAGATGAGTTGATCAGAGCTGTTCAAAGAGGCAATGGCATGAAATTTGGAGGGATGGCCTTGGTGGTTCCTAAAGCGACAGTAAGGAAACTTGATAGAGAGTCTCATGGAAGAATTAGTTGGGAAAGAAACAAGGTCAGGTCTGATTTTGGCAGAGTTGTGAAGTCAGAGAGTGTCAGAGTTCAGAAGTTTCACTAGAAGGAGAATCCTTAGTGTTCGAGAAGATGGGAAATGAATAGGGTCAGGTCAGATTCTGGCAGATTTGGAAAGTCGGAGAATGACAGAGTTCAGAAGTCTCACTGGAAGGAGAAACCTCAGCATGAGAAAAGAGATAATGCTATTATTGCTGTTAGAGGTAATAATAGTGGAACCACTAAAGAATCGAAAGAGCCTGATATTCAGCAACCTGATGGTAGTACTCCTATGCAAGTTTTACAGCCAGATACTGTGATTAATAAAGTTGCAGATGTCAATGAGGAAAGTGAGAAAGAGGACGATCGAGAAGAGAGATCATTTGGGAGTTATTGCGATCGATAGGACGTCGATCTGGATGTTTTTATTCTAGAATCCGATATGGATTGACTGGTGCATAGTGTAGTGGTTCTTATTAGTACTTATGGGAATATGTCGGAGGTGATTACAGCAATTCAGAGCTTTGAGTTCCAGGTGAAGGTGGCTGAAATCAGTAATGTCATGTTACTTCTAATTGTTAATAAGGAAGCTTTAGTGGATGATTGTATTAAGGCAGTGAATGGACTTAATCTTGATTGCTTCATTGAGGTAGCTCCTTGGGAATTCTCTATTGTCTAAAGATGTTCCATTGTGTGGGTGAAACTTGAAGAAGTTCCTTTGGAACTATGGCATGAGAATTTTTTTTTTTCTGCCATTGGGAATCTATGGGGAAAGTTCATGAGTATTGATGAAAGTACCAAGAGCAGGAATTCCTTTAAACAAGCTAGAGTGCAGACTGCCTTATCAAGTGTTTGTGATGTCCCAAAGATTATCACAGGTGAATCAGCTGGTATAAAATTCAGAATTCGGGTTTCGTTAGAGAAGGTTGACAGAGGTGAGTGGGATTGTAGCGGTTTTCCGGTGCCGTCGAAGGGTCAGAGCATTAATCATGACGACGAGCTTGTGTTGGTTCCTAATTCAGCATTTATTGATGCCTCTCTGTATGATAAGGATGACTTTGGTTTTGAAGAAAATAATGATGATTGCCGCATAAGAATTACTCCCGAGGATATTGTTGGGGAGAGTTTGACTGTTAGTAGGGAAGGTGCCGGCAGGAGAGATTTATTGCACTCAAATTTTGTCGTCGACTCTTTGGAAAGGGAAGATGAATTTGTTCCAAATTCAAATTCATTTATCGAGCATCATGTGTCTGAGCCAGAAGCCCATTTTAATCACTCTGGGTCTACTTCCACTAGGCCCAGCCTAGGTGTTAGAAGTCTGAGTGGGTTAAAGGGTGTTGTGGATGATTTTAATTTTACAAAGTTGGGCTAGCGTTTCAAATGGGTCAGATGTAGGGTATGCGAAAGAAAAAAGAGGAAAGCTCATAGAAGAAGAGGCGTTACTGGTCTGGTAATGGAGGAAAGAGCAGTGGTGGATGTTCTAGAAGATTCTGTCTGATGAGGATATTAGATCTAGAAACATAGCTCTTTTAAAAGAAGCAGAAGATACGTATGAGATTAGCCGAACCTTGGGTATTAATTTCTGCGAGGAAAGGAACGCCATTATATCTAGACTGATAAGTCTAGAATCTTAATTTGTTTTTTGTGCTTGTGGTTCGTTGTGAGTTTGGTTTTATTATTATGAAACTACTATCCTGGAATGTTAGAGGATTAGGAAGAAAAGAGAAGAGAAGAGCCGTTAGGTCTTTGATTGCCCGGTGCCAGGCCAATTTGGTGATGCTTCAAGAATCAAAATTGGATTCAGTTAATTTGAGGTTAATTAAATCGATGTGGGGTAGAGATAAATTCCAATATAGAGTTGCGGAGGCTATTGGCTCTGCTGGGGGACTTATATCTATATGGGATGAGGATTTTTTTAGTGTGGAGCTTGCGGTGGTAGATTCGAGATATATAATATGTATTGGTACTCTGCTGCAAAACGGATTTCGTTGTGCTATTGGTATTGTCTATGCTCCGAATGATGAAGATGGTAGGCTGAATGTCTGGAGAGAAACTAGAGACCTTAAAGCTCAATTTGATGTCCCCTGGATCCTTGGAGGTGACTTTAATGCGGTTTTGAGAAGGGAGGAGAGGCTTGGCGCTTCAGGGAATATTCAAGGTGTGGAGTCTTTTTCTGAGTTTATTGGTTATATGCAACTCGTGGATTTACCTCTGATTGGTGCTAAATATACTTCGGCAAATACTAGAGATTTGCCATTGTTTATCAGATTGGATCATTTTTTAGTCAGCTCTGAGATCTTGTTGAGTTTTCCTGACATCAAACAGAAGGCAAAACCAAAGTCCCTTTCTGACCACAATCGAATTTTATTGCTTGTGGAAAATCAGAATTGGGGCTCTAAGCCTTTTAAATTTTTTAACTACTGGCTGGAACTTGATGGCTTCCAAAAAACGTTTGACAGTGCTTGGAAAAGTTTAAATGGTGGTTATGATAATTATCAGAGACTCAGATTGTTAAAACCAAAAATTAAAGAATGGTTTAATGAGTTTGGAAGAGTTGATCTTAGAAGAATTGAAGAACTTGAAGAGGAGATTAATAGTTTGGAATTGGAGATACAAGTGCAGCATGGGAGCAATGTAACTGAGCTCAGAAGAGTTATTTTAGCCAAGAAAAATGACCTTTGGAATTTGTACAGAATGGTTGAGAGGTCATGGCAGCAAAAAGCGGTTGAGAGGTCATGGCAGCAAAAAGCTAGAATGCAGTGGCTTAAGGAGGGTGATAAAAACACCAAGTTCTTTCACTTGGTTGCCTCTAACAGAGCCCGTAGGAATCGCATTGACTCTATTGAGATTGATGGTTTGGTAATTGAGAAACCTGAGGACGTGAAAGAAGGTATTTCAAGTTTCTTTGAAAAGTTTTATAATACCAAAACTGCTGTTAGGGTTGCTGATATTGATTGTAACTTTAAAAGATCAAGTGAAGAGAGGGCTGATTGGCTTGAGAGAGTTATGTCGGCGGAAGAAGTGTATGAAGCTATTTGTGAGTGTGATGGTACCAAGGCTCCAGGCCCGGATGGGTTTAATTTTTTTTTCATAAAAAAGCAGTGGGAAACGCTTAAAGGTAGTGTGATGGAATTTATCAATGATTTTTGCAGTGGAGCTAATTTTAACACCAATGTTAACAATTCTTTCATTACTTTGGTGCCTAAATGTAATGGGGCGGTGAAGATTGAACAATTTAGACCTATAAGCTTGGTGGGCTGTCTATATAAGATCCTTGCTAAGGTGCTCTCAAGAAGGCTAAAAAGTGTTATGCAAGATGTTATAGGGGAGTTTCAATTTGCTTTTACTCAAGGGAGACAGATTTTAGATTGTTCGCTTATTGCTAATGAGATAGTTGACTCTATGAAGAAAAGCAAGGAAGGTGGTATTTGTTTCAAGGTTGATTTCGAGAAGGCGTACGATAGCGTTGATTGGGGTTTTCTACAGCTTGTTATGACTAAGATGGGGTTTCGCAATAAATGGATTGAGTGGATTATGAAATGGATTGACTACTCCTTCAATTTCAGTGCTTGTGAATGGCTCAGCTGAAAGGAAATTCTCTCCTGCTAGAGGTCTTCGACAGGGATGTCATTTGTCTCCCTTTCTCTTTAATTTGGTTGGTGAGTTCCTTAGTTTACTGTTATCTAAAGCTGTTGATATCGGGTTGTTTTCTGGTTTTCAGGTAGGAAGGGTGGCTATTTCTCATCTCCAATATGCTGATGATACTCTAATTACTTGTAAGCCGGATTTGGAGCAGATTAAGAATGTTAGAAGAGTGTTGAGATGTTTTTAGTTGATGTCGGGTTTGAAGGTCAATTTCAGCAAGAGCAGCATGATAGGGGTTAATTTAGATCAGTCTCTGGTTCAAGAGTGTGCTGTTTCAGTGAATTGTAGTGTGGGTTCTTTACCTTGTACCTAATTGGGATTACCTCTTGGTGCAAGGCCTAATTCGACTGCTATTTGGAAACCTATTGTTGAAAGATGTCAGAAGAAGTTATATGCTTGGAAAGCTAAGCATCTCTCGATGGCTGGTAGACTTGTTCTTATCAATATTGTTATTGCTAGCTGTCCAAACTACTTCATGTCGCTTTTTCCTTTGTCAGTTACTATCAAACAACAACTGGACAGAATTGTGAGAAGATTTCTGTGGTCTAGTAATAGTGAGGGGAGGAAGATTCATTTCATTGATTGGGACTCGATCTGCAAGTATAAAGATCAAGGTGGATTGGGAATCATTGATCTCGATATTATGAATCAAGCTCTCCTAAATAAGTGGTTATGGAGATTTGGTAATGAGCAAGGCAGTCTCTGGCAGAGAATCATTGTGGAGAAAAATGGTTGTTCTAATAGTGCTCTTATTCCTGCTGGCAGTAATAGAAATGGTTCTGCAGCTTCTGCTTTGTGGAAATCTATTTTGAAGCCTGGGAATGATGGGTTATCTTCAATGAATAAAATACCGTCCGTGACCGGTCGGTTCAACCGGGAACCGGTGCCCAGTCCGGTACTGGTATGTATATAAACCACAAAGTCAACGTACCGGCATTGACCCGATTGAACCGGCCGGTTTGTCGGCTTTTTGGCCGGTTTAGGACTTGGTCAATTTTTTTCATTTTGAAATTTTTTAAAAAAACAATTGCAAATAGTAAGAATCGAACCCAACACACTTTGAATGAAGACAAAAGACTTAACCACTCCACCAAATTGTTATTTAATGATTATTTCATCATATATTATATTTATTCTATACTAAAAAATATTTTTTTTCAAAAAGAACTTTTAAACGGTTTAACCGGTGGTTAAACCGGATACCGGTGGCCTCACCGGTATGGCCTCCGGTCCGGTATTTTATTCATTGGTTATCTTCTTTTACTAAGGATGGTATGGCTATCTCCATTGGTTATGGTATTAAAGTTGACTTCTGGAAAGATGAATGGGTGGAAGGAATTATTTTAAAGGAGTCATTCCCTCGGATTTACGCCCTTGTTTTAGTTAAAAATGGATCTGCTGCTGATTTTGGATCCTTTGTTGACGATGAATGGAGATGGGTGGTGAATTTTAGGAGGGAAACCTTTGGATGGGAAAAAGAGCAGTGGCATGATTTTATTTCAACTTTGCAGATTATCACTTGGTGGAAGGCTCTAGAGATAAACCGATTTGGAAGTTTTGTACTAGTGGGACTATACAGCAAATGCTTTTTGCAAATCTTATTATTACACCCGTTTTCCTTGTACTAATTTATGGAAGCTTGTTTGGGCAAGTGTTGCTCCTCCTAAAGTGGTGTGTTTTACTTGGCAGGTTATTAGGAAAAGACTGGCTGTAAAGTTTGAGCTAAACAAAAGAGGCTTAATCTCTTTTGAATCTTCTTTGTGTGAAAAAGAAGTAGAGAATGTTGAGCATCTGTTTTTCACCTGCATTTGTTCCTGGAATATCTGGATGGCATGCTGTAGGTTATGGGGCATTCGCTGGGTTGTACCAGTGGATCCAACAACTTTCTTTTTGTCCTGGTATTATGCTATTGATGATTTCAGCAAAGTGAATGTTTGGAGATTGATCTTCTTTGTGGTCATATGGTCCCTTTGGCTTACCAGAAACGATATGGTCTTTAACAACAAACACTTTGATGCCTTACAATTGTTTGATCTTATTAAATTGAGGCTTTCTTGGTGGGTGAAGGCTGCTTGGCCCGATTCTAATCTCTCTTTTGAGAACTTGTTTCGTTTTCCAGATGTTGCTGTTGTCAAACATAATAAGGCAAAGGTTCCAAGGTGTTTGACTTGGGAGAGGCCTACTTCTGGCTTTTTAAAGTTCAATGTAGATGGAGCATCAAAAGGGAAGCCGGGTCCTGCCGGGATTGGCGGCATCTTGAGAGATGAGAATGGGAGAGTTTGCATGGAATTTTCTAAGTCTACTGGTATAATGGAGTTGAATGAGGATAAGGTGTGTGCTATCAGAGAAGGGCTGTTGGTTTTTTGTGCATCTAGGTGGGTTGAATCACATGGGTTAATTGTGGAGAGTGATTCTTCTATTGCAGTTAAGTGGGTGGAAAATCCTGATGAGTCTCCTTGGAGGCTTAGGAAATGGATTAACCACATATGTTTGTTGAAAAGAAATTTCTCCTCTTTTAAGGTTTGCCACATTTTTAGAGAAGCCAATCATGATGCAGATGTTTTAGCTAAGGAAGGGATTGATCGTGAGGCTCCCTATGTTAGATTGTTTGGCTGATATTGTTGCTCTTCTTGGTTGAGTTGTTGGTGTTTTTTCTTTGTTTGGCTGCTGTCTGTCTTTGCACTTTCTTTGGTCTGTTTTTGGCTGTATTAGGTTGGTTTTTTTGGGCCTTTTTGTTTGGTCTCGGTTGTATGGGGTTGCTGGGCTTTTTTTTTCTTTCTTTTCTTGGTACTAGACTTTTGTAACCTTTTCTAGGAAGGAACACCTCTTTGAGAGTACTCTTTTTCCTTCTATAGGATTTGTTCCTACTGGTTTTTTCCTATAGAAGGTTTTAACGAGGCTCTCGTGCACCTTCCTTTTTCTCTTATTAATATATTTCTTGCCTTTCATATATATATATGAAAATTAATTAGTACCAAATTAACTTAATGACCTTTCCCTCTAAACTTTGGACATTTTCCATGAAGTTTTTATTTGGAACTTTCACTCCATAAACTAAACTATTAAAATGAGGACAATTTTTCCCCGCGCCCTAAAAAAATTGCTGACGTGGCATGGCATGGCATATTGCAATGTCAGCATTTTTTTAAGGGAAAAATTGTCTCGATTTTGAAAGTTTAGGGAGTGAAAGTTCCAAATTAAAGTTAAATAGAAAATTATCCTAATTTTGATAGTTTAAGCAAAAATTATCATGATAATTTTGATAGTTTACAAACTGAAGTTCCAAATTAAAAGTTCAAGGGAAAATGTCCCTTTTGTAAAAAAATTTAGGGGGAAAATGTGCATTATATGCCTTACCTAATTGGGTTGGGGACTGGTATAAACGGATTGCACTGTTGTAATAGTCTGCATACATAATGTTGACATGCGGGTGAAGCTTGCGGAGTTGGTCAAGTTTTTGCTGAAGCATTTGGTTGTGGTATTGGGCCAATTGGTTTAACCAGGTTAAGCAACCAGTTAAGGGATCATATTCTTCCTTATTTGGAGTCCGGAAATATGTCAAAAATACAGGTGAGCAGCCGATTGGAAGGTTTCCGGGGACCAAAAATGTGACTGCCCCTAATTCGATAAGCTCCTGCATATATATAAGAGATTCAAAGTCTTAACAATTGGTTTTGTCAAAATTTTATCTCTTGATATAGTAATAACTTGTCTAATCAGTTTCTCACATTATTGCCAAAAAAAAAAAAATCAATTTCTCACATTGATTGCTGAAGCTACGGTATCAACAACAAGAGGAACATATTCTCGAACTTCATCAATCTTTCTTCCTTGAGTCAGTGGATGATTGTAATCATCTCCTCCAATCTCTCCCATAATAATCAAAGACGTCTTGAGCAGCCTCTTGCAATCTATGAGTTTGAGATCATCAACAACTTTGGTTGGAATTTCATTTTTTTTTTTTTTGGCTTGGTTGGAATTTCATAATTGCATGCTCCTATATATATATTATGAGTGAAGATCCAATTACACAGTGTGTAAAACATTTGTTTTACACAATTTTTCAGCCCTTAGATCTAAGGAAACCAACGGATGAGATTAAAACTAAATTTATTAAAAAAAACCTTTTCTAATCATGGAGTTCAGTGTCTCATATGCAGGCTTCCAATTGACCAACTTTACAGTGCGTGAGCAAGATCTGTGTTTCCATTTTGCTTTCCAATTGAAACACAAATCCATCTTCCCATTTTCCCTCAAAAGTTTGTCCACTTCATTATAAGTGTGCAAATTCGGAATAAAACAGAGGCCCAACATTTCTATTAACAAAGAATAATCAGCTTTCCAATTCCTTGCTTTGCTATAAGCATGAACAGAGGAAGACAACAGAGATTTTTGTTTTCTCTTATCAACCAAAAATTTTTTTTAAAAAAAACTTTGCATCGTAAAGGAAAAATTCGTAATACCTGTTTATTTCAATCAACAATCTAATGGAATTTTTCTGAAAATTAAAAAGGGAAGAAATTCATTGGAATTCATCGTCATCGGTGGAGGAAGAGAGAGAGAGAGGGAGGGGAGAGAAAGAAAGAAACGGAGCGCGTGAAAATATATGTGGGTAAGAGAGAAACTTTTTTTAGTAAATTTAGTTTTAATCTTATTGGTTGGTTTCCTTAGATCTAAGGGCTGAAAAATTGTGTAAAACAAATATTTTACACACTGTGTAATTGGATCTTCACTCATATTGGCAAATTATACAATACACCACCGGTGGAGTTTAGCAGACTACACAAACGGATCCTAAAGGGTGACATGTGTCTCTTAGGGACTAGATTGAAATATTTAAAACTTAATTAATTGAAAAAATGGACATGTGTCAACTCCACAACCCACTTGTGGAGTAAAAAATTTACACCGCCGTGTATCATATAATCACCCTATATAAATATATGGAAAATTTAAGAAACTTAATTATTACCTGAAGGAGATGAGCAAAGAGATTGCAAAGTCTTTTTGAACCATCCCACTTCATCTCCCAAAGAAACGTTTGTAGCAGCATTAAGGATTCCTCTTTCTACCCAAAACGAATAATTAATTGCTCTAGCGCCAGCCACAGCAAAATTCACACCCTTCTCAAAGTTTGATGATCCAATATATGGTGGTAAATAGGGTAGTCTAAAAGCCTGAGCTACAAAAAAATTAAAATAAAATAAAAAGAAAAAAAAAACTTATAAGTCGACCATGACCAATTAATTTTGCAGGTTCAAATAATCTATATACATACCAATGAAATCTATAATGATGCGGCCGTCACACAGTCGCCCTGTCGGAAAAGGGAAGAAGGATTTTCCATAAGGGGGAAAACCGGAGTGGTGAACTATACCGTCCATAAGATCGAGATGAAGCAAGTTGCCTGTGTCAGTTAAGGAATCACCAAAGCTGAACATGGACGTAAAGCATGCATTGGCATGATGATTGCAGATCAATATGATAAAGACAAGGCTAACAATAGATTTTGCATATGATGAAGAAAAAGCCATTGCACTAATGTGATTGATATGCAGTTTTCGACTATGCCGACAAAATTATATAAATAGTATTGCCAAAAAAAATTATATATAAATAGTAAAGGAATAACGTCTAATTTCGTACTTTCACTTCAAGTCATATACTATGTGTGTATGTATATGTATGTATATATGTACCTACTTATTTTGTGATATCCATGCATTGCCAAGACATAAAGGGTAGAGATAAGTAATGCCACAATCAATATCTATATGTTCGTTGAACAACATTTATTATCACAATTAATATAAGAAAAAGAAATTGATTTTGTGTCATTTGTGTGGTTGTTAATTGTTAGTATATATCTGGCAAAAAAAATGTAGGAGTAGATAAGAAGATAAGCACAAAAAAAAAAAAAAACAAGAAGATAAGAAGATATGACATTTTTATGAATTGGGTCCGGCTGCTCCAATCGATATGTTATGGTGATCAAATGTCGGTTTAACGCAAGAATCTTTGTATAGATTTGGTGAATTTAGAGCATTGTCAAGCAAATTTTTTTACTTTAATTAGTTTTCTTTTTCCTTTTTAACTAAAAGTATTCTAAAAATCTTTGGTCTTGTAACTAATCCCTTTCGATTTGGGAGCGTAAATGTTAAAGGGTGATTATATGATACACCGACGGTGTAAATTTTGGACTCCACAAGCGGATTTGAAGTTAACACATGTCCATTTTTTGAATTATTTAATTTTTAAATATTTCAATCTAGTCCCTAAGGGACACATGTCACCTTTCAGGACCCGTTTGTGTAGTCTGCTAAACTCCACTGACGGTGTATTGTATAATTTGCCAATGTTAAAACCCTCTCCATGGATCGAATTTGTGTTCTCATTCTTATTAGAGTAGAGGCCGCCTACCGTCTCAGGGTGGAGGTCGCTTTCCACCTCAACCAATTTGTAATCACTAACTAGTAACAGTAAGATAAAAATCTTCAATGGTGATTTTTAAGCTTCAATTCCTTCTCCCTTCAATTTTTCTCACCAAAGTCAGACACTCCCTTTTTTAATTTTGTCGGCCAAAGCTTTTAAAACCAAAAGCAATTTTCGGCTCAATATTTTTTTAACTTAGAAACCAAATCTCTCTGTAAACCCTAGATTTTAGTAGCCTTTTATACTACCCTATTGAGTCAACCCCATTTGGGTATGGACTCAATTTACATGAAAAAAAATAAGCCCACTTACATAGAGCCATAAAAGAAATTACAATATAAGCTTAAACTTGAACTAAAAATAATGGGTTCGTCCCAAACTTAATTAAGCCCAAATTTCGGTGTCTACAGGGTAAAGTAGTCTTTTTCACCATCTACCATAACCTCGATACTTAATTCGAATGATTTCACATCAGAAATATGACCGCGTTCACTGATTCGACCGCGTTCAATGATTCACTAATTGAGGGATAAATTGATAATTTAATATATCTAAGAGTAAAATCGTCTTTTAACTCTTTAATAATTCATCCATTTATTTATTATCCCAAATTTTCCATTTTCCCTTATTTCTTATTTTTTCCTATTTCCCTTTTTCTTTTCTTTTCTTTCCTTTTCAAATTGGGATTATTCCCCTTTGGGCCAAGTCCCACTCTTTCTTTTTCCTTTCTTCTTTTCTATTCATCATTTCTTTTGTTTTTTTTAAGGCAGACGTGGCCCAGACGGCCATCCCAAGGCCCACGCGCCAAGCCTGGCGCGCTGGCCCGCGCCTGGCTTGCGCGTTGGGCCATGCTAGCCAGCCCATTGGCCAGGTCTGGCTGCCAATATGGCAGCCCCGACCGGCCACCAATCCTCGCCGGAATAAAAAATTTCCAGATTCTGGCAGCCCCTAAAAATGGTCCCTAAGAATATTTTCTTCACCAATTTTCATCTAAATTCACTTCTAAATTCAAAACCAACATTTATAAAGTCCGAAAATCAAAACCAATACACCATTCAACATCAAACTCATCAATTCCATTAAAATTCAAAGCAACTCACTTACCCAATAAATCAAGGTCTTTATTTGTTACTCCTCCAAGTATCCATTTATGCCTCCAAACTCCTTGCTTCAACCTCCAAACA